TAAATGTCTTATTTAGGCCACACATTCAACAGACCAACAAATACTTGAGAAAAGTTTTTATTCATTAAATGTTTAAATGTATTAAAAGGAGTTCAGCGAACGAAACCAACACTCAATTTGTTGACAATTTGTTTTTACACACAAGAGAAGAAAAGTTTTCTGTCTAATTACAACCTATACTTAATGTTATTTTATGTAATGTTTGACTAAACAGTTGTTAATTTACTTTAAATTAACTTTCAATTGAACTATAAATTTATTCATTAGTAAAATATGTTACGATTATTATTGATTTGTTCGCTTTGGGCTTCAGTTTTATGTTTTGAATGCACAGGTATTGTAACGAACAAAAACTTTTTATTACTTTTAAAAAGTAAAAGTTTTATTTTGTATTCAAAGTTAGTTCGCGGAAGTGATAAACTAGTGTTTAAATATATCATTTAACTTTTGTTAAGTAATAGCCGCTAATTATATGTTTAAAAATAATTTTTAATTGAGTTTAATTGTTGTATTAATATCTAGTTAATTATTTGTTTGTATTGTACTGATTTGCATACACTTTGGGGCAATGAAAATAGGAAATGGTTATTTTGGTGATCCGACAGATTGTGCCAAGATGATTCGCTGCTCTAATGGCAAAATCACTCATCGATTCACTTGCGGTGAAGGAAAAGTTTTTAATGATATAACCAAAGCGTGTGATGACCCCAAATATGTCAATTGTCATAAGTCTGTCGCCGCAGACACCGCTAAAACTAGTCCTCCAGTCGTCGCACATCAGCCACGATATGAAGCACCCGTTGCGGCCCGACTACAGTCACCCGCCAGACACCCAGTCTCTCCTTTTCTCAATTTTAGGACCACTTCTAACGATAAGACACGAGAAATTGTCACAACAGATAACACGAGAGCTGAGAGTGTGACCACTGAGAGTCCGGTCACTCATACTGTGCCTATTTTACGCAAGAATTTTATTTCTTTAAACGAGTCTTTCGTTGAATATGAAGAAAATCGAAAACCAATTCTTATTAATGAATCATTTGTTGTCTACGAAGACAGACATCAAATTCCTTTAAACAAATCATTTGTTGTCTATGAAGAGAGACATTCACTTCCTTTTAATAAATCATTCGTTGTCTACGAAGAGGAAGAAGAGGAAAGAGAAGATAGAGAAGAGGTGACCACTATATCTACTATTACTACAACGACTACAACGACGACCACAACTCCAATTCCAACACAATTGTTGACAACTTCTGGAAGTGAAACAGTAACAGAATCTCCAATACCCGTTACAACAGTGAATAATGTTATTTTACCGGTTCTCGAGTCTATTATATTAAATGAAAGTCTCATCGAAACCACAGAAGCAACAGATATATCGACAACAGAGTCAACAGAATTTACAACAAAGAGTTCATCAGTTTGTGTCGTAGACCAGAGTTCGGACGCAATTCTTACGATTCCATCAAACTATTGGACAAACGAGACCTCAAAGCTAACAGATTTCTATAAAGTACTCGTTATTTTGACACAAATAGTTTTAATAACTTTTTTTATATCTAAACCAAACTAGAATATCATAATTTTCCTCATATATTAAATTTGTGATACTTTGAAAATGTAGTCAAATTATATAGAGAGCAAAGTTTATGCAAAAAACTTTGGATTATAGAGATCTTAAAGATGAAAACAATATTAGACATTCAGTCTTATGACATACTGTAGTCTTTAGTTAATATTTTAACGTTAGAGTAATAGTCAATAGTGTTGTCAATTACTCTATTATAGTATGGATTCTACTGTAGTTAACTCTATTACTGTATGTCAATTGTGATATTAATTTTTTTAATGAACAATTTAAAGTTTTAATGCTATCAAAAATTGTAAGATACATTAACATTTTTATATTAAGTAATTGTAAAAAGTTAATTTCACGTCAGGATATGAGCAAAACTAGTCAAATGTTTCACAACTTTATCAATATTAAAAACAACATTTTCTTTAATTCTATTCCCAGGAAGTAATAAGTATTTAAATTAATACTGTAGTTAACTCGAATTTACACTTATACAGGTTGTTTGTTATTACACATCATGGTCCCGATTCCGAGTTCACCCAGCACAGTTTATGCCTAATATGATAAACCCATTTCTCTGCACTCATATCATATACGCGTTCGCTATTCTCGATAAACACTCGCTTATAATGAAAGAATCGGACGAATGCACAGACATTACAAATAGAGGATACGAACAAATCACAGCATTAAAAGTAAACATGTTTGTTTTATAGTTATACTTTACAGAACTCGAGGCAATTTAAACCCGAGGTAATGTAAACCCTCTGTATAAACTGTACATACATTCACGTGATATACTGTGCGTAATGTATGGTAGGGTTTACATTACCTCGGGTTTGAATTGCCTCGAGTTCTGTTACATACCGTTATTTTAAACTGAAAACTTTTAAACTTTTTTGAGTTACTATATGAATACAATTGTAAACCTTTTGTAACAAAATTATAGAGTTTGTGAATATATGGCTAAAATGCTATTATAATTATGTCAGGAAAAAAATCCTCGGCTTAAAGTTCTGATAGCGATCGGCGGTTGGAGTGATAGCAGTGATGGCGACAAGTATTCTCGTTTGGTGTCATCGCAAGCAAATCGAGTTAATTTCATTGAAAATGCTATTCATTTCATGGAGAAACACAATTTCGACGGCTTAGACCTGGACTGGGAGTACCCGACGTGTTGGCAGGCGAACTGCACGGCTGGCCCTCAATCGGACAAAATTAATTTTGCCATCTTTTTGAGAGAATTGCGATTGGCTTTCAATAAACGTGCGAAGCCTTTGCTTCTGACAGCAGCTCTCGGCGCCACTAAAGAGATTCTGGACAACTCATATGAGATTAATTCATTGATGGTTAACTTGGATTTCATTAATCTAATGACTTATGACTTTTACACAACGGGTAGTTTAGTGGCCGCACATCACTCACCACTATATTCACACCCAAATGCTAGAGATAAATACAATTCTGTATTGAACTCCAATTTCTCAGTTAATTATTTGATCAGAAAGGGAGTGCCGGCTCATAAAATTATCATGGGCATTCCGTTTTACGGGCGAACATTCAAACTGAATCAAAATTCAAACAACGACTTCGGGTCGCCGGTCAACGGGACGGGAATTGAAGGCATTTATACCAAAGAGAATGGTTTTCTGGCCT